TGTGTGTGTGTGTGTGTGTGTGTGTGTGTGTGTGTGTGTGTGTGGGTGAAAGTGTACTCTATGAATGTGACACATATCGTATACGTGAGTGTGTGTGTGTGCCGTCTATGAGTCCATGCATATGCCGTCCACCTCTTCCTCCTGCTGAAGGGCAGCATCCACCCACAGGCAGCAGGGTTTTCCTTTGTGATCTCATGCTGCGGAGTTTTGTTTCAAACACTTCTGTGAGTCATTGCCCCCTCACCACACATTCACTGCCAGTCAAACGCTTTTGGACATCGGATATGTTAGCATTTCTGGTTACATTTTAAGTAACAGAGACCAATTTTTATGAACGCAACATCTCAGGTACGCTTTGAGCAACTCCCTTCACATTTGGCACTAATCTCCACTTGTACTTAAGGTTAAACTGATTAGAATTTGGCGCTCAAAGGTCACTGTGAACTGACAGAATACGCCATAACAATAATTCATATGCTAATTATGACAATTTCACTTTAATGTCTGATAGGATTAAAATTATGAAGTGGTGACAGGTATTTGGTCATAAACTAAATTTTTGGACAAATTAAAATAGATGGAAAGTCAAAGGATCATCAAAGTTGTTACAATTCAGACATGAATGTTTGAACAACGTTCCATGGGAATCCATTTAATAGTTGTCGATGCGTTTCGCCAGAAACCAAAAAGCTGATTTGATAACATGTGATACTGTCAGACAGTGTGAAATAGTGCCTCAAAGTGCTAAACAAAAATGTTCAAATGTAAGGTGTTGAGCAAACCTTTCTTCTGGCAGTGTATCCATCAACCAATGTGGTATTAACATTGGGTTTCATTGCAGATTTTTGTGCCCTCACCTTCGTCCGTGGTGTAGTAATTATACCCTTTCATCAGCATTGTGCTCACATCACGGGGACTTCTCCCGGTAGAAGTCAGCCTGGGATCCCATTTTAAAATGCTAAACCTGTCCTGTTTCGCTGATGCTCTGTTAACGTTGTGCTGTGTTGATGCTCTCTCTCCCCGGCCGGAAGAGTCCGGCTGGGCCGGCTCCTCCCGACAAAAGACAACCCGGGCCCAACAAACGCGTGAGGATCTCCATGGCGGTAAGATTTTCCGCCACCTAGAGACTGTTGCTTAGTAACCGTTGCCTTGCAACACGAACGTAGCGAGCGCTCGACCAAAATATTTGTGGTGTACCAGTCAAAGCATTAGAGTGGCTGTGCAGAGAGAGAGAGAAAGTGTGTGTGTGCGTGTGAGAGAGAGAGAGAGAAAGTGGTAAAGGTTTCATCATCTTTTCGACATCAGTGTTAAACCAAATGTTTCATCAGCTTTCATCGAGGGTTTTTGAGCGTTAGTATTGAGTTGAATTGTGTTGATAAATAATATGTTTTTCTGGTTTCACTGGGATCATGCCCTCAGATCACTCCTTGTGTTGGTAGTGCACACAATGGTGTCAATCGTACTTTTTTGTCTCTAAACCTTTGTGTGTTTGTATTAACAGGGACATCGTATGTTTTGTCTTTTAGGACTCTACTGAAGCGGAAGATGGCATGACCCCATCAGACGTGAGACCTTCACTGCACACGACAGAAAATATACAAAACATTAATTTTACAACACGTTTTCATTGTCTCGTCATCTTTCTCGTTGCAGATAGCGGAGTGGGAGGAGCAGCAGCTTGACGAGCCGGTGGATTTCAAGAACTGCAAGATTGATCCTGCTCCCTTCCAGCTGGTGGAGCAAACATCTCTGCATAAGGTACAATTTCAACACCCTGTCAAATGAAATCCCATTTTTTACCACAGTAGCCTATTTTCCTCATCATATGATTTTAATGTTTAACATTAGAAGCCCTACGAATGTGCCAACCTTATGTGTTTTTAATTTCTCACAGTATATTTAGTAATAGTCTCATGTGGTCCTTCTGCACCAAGTGGACAAATTACCCAAACTTGATGCTTTTAACATGCAGTTTGATTGTGAGTTTAACCACTGGCTTTAACGTCCTCTCTGGTTTCAACATACCAAGAACCCCTGTGGAATAACGTGAACAGTGAACATTGCCAGCCGAGCTAATGACACTTAATTACAATGCAATTCTTGACTGCTGTAATGCTTTCACTACTGATGGTGGGTCAGACCGATAATGGCCTGACCCGACAGACGTGGGGAAAATGAACGTCAGGTGGAAGAGTTGCTCATTTTATCCCATGTAGTATGCAGTGGTGGAAGAAGTACTCAGATATTTTACTCAAGTAAAAGTACATACTACGAAAGCATGAGCATTAAAATATACTTAAAGTACCAAAAGTAAAAGTACTCAATGTCATGTGTTCATCACTAAGATTGAGCTAATTTTAACTACTTTATTTACAAAATTTTAAGTCTACCTGTAACCATTTGGCTATCACTCTTGGGTCAGGAGCATTATACCAAATACATCACACATGCATCTGTGTGTGCTGCAGGCAAGCAATGATTGGTTGGTGTCCAAAGCCATGTCTCACAGCAAGAATGTACGACTATAGGATCGCCTAGTCTTACAGTGACCGTCTCAAAAGGGCAAAAATGTCGTGGTATAATAATTTCCATGACCCTGATCCAAAATGAGGCCCCTCTCTGAGTCTGTATTCAGGCCATGACCCATCTCTCCTCCTACACAGACCCACACCATCTTCTCTCTGCTGGGTCTGGATCACGCCTATGTGACCAGCATGGGACGTCTGGTCGGAGTGGTCTCTCTCAGAGAGGTGTGCATATGTTGTTCTTCAATTGTTAAAGCTTCTGATAGAGATTTCTTTCTGTATATGATCACCATCTCTTTTCTATTCCCCGTCCTGACGTCTTTATTTCTAATGCTCTCTTTCATTTCTCCAGCTGCGTAAGGCCATCGAGGGCTCGGTGACGGTGACTGGAGTAAAAGTGCGCCCTCCGTTGGCCAGTTTTCGCGACAGTGGGAACAGCACAAACGTATCCGAGGTAACAGAACTGCACAAGCTGTGCATCCGCCACAGGGGTCTCTCATTGCCACGGGAACCCAACCCTCCGGACGTGGAGGACCAGCCAGACCTCCCGTACAAAGAGATCCCCATCAACTTCTCGGACACATCGAATTTGCAGTTTGAAAGCAGCCCCGGGGACATCTCGAGTCAGGAGTTGGTGCTCCAGGAGAGCCCTTCGTTCACCGAGGACCCATCGGAGCTTACTTTTGACTGCAGCCCCTCTCACACTGAGGAATCAGAGCTGGGCTGTGACTATGACCCCCTCACCCACACTCCGGAGCAGGACGACACGGAGCAAGAACAGGGGAGTCCGTCTCTGAACAAGGACCAATCAGAACCTGAGGGAGAGGGTGTCCCCGCCCACACTGAGGATCAATCAAAATGATCAGGGGGGGGATCTGTCGCCTCATGAATGTTGACGTTTCTTACATTTGTAGAGGTCACTCTGGCCTCCAAGTCCAGCCTAGATACCCGTGTTTCTAACGTTGTTGTGGCGTGATTGAGAGAGTGAGCAGGAGTAGATGTGACATCCGTTATTGCGTTTCAAACTGTGCAAATGCCCGTTTTAAAAGATAAAGCCGACTTTATTCTACATTTGACTTACTGTCAACGAATCCCATGAAAGGAACAAAACCAACAACTACTGACTCCCCTGTAATGTCTGTTGCTCTTTGATTCCTATTGAAGAGGCAAATCTTTAAAGCCTCCGAACACCCACGCAGGTGTTTCCAGTTATTCTGATTAGCCCTCTGCTCGGGTTGAAGGTGGGCCGGAGCTTTGATGGGAGTTCAATTAGGTCACAGATCTTCATCCACCACCAGGTGCAACAAAAGCTAACAGGAGACTCAGTCACTTGAAATCAATCAATTGTAGTCTGTGGACGACCACACAGTCCTGAGAGGAGGTCTAATCAGCCAGATTAACTGGAAACAACTGGATGGGTGCTCAGAGGCTTTAAAGATGAACGTCGCCAATTTTACACATCAAAGTCTGTGTTCAGGTGTTGGAGAGTGTTTTAATCATTTTCTGTGAAAGACTTCATATAAAGCTTTTTTGTTGCTCCAGAGGGAGATGTGGGAAGCGAACTGATTAATCAGAAATCTTGACAACATCTAATAATGGACCTTTAGGTGAGATTATTCAAGTCATTTCCTAAAACAGCTGGGCAGTGTAGGCTGTATTACTCAAACAAGCATTAATAATGCATTTATTTCAGCCACAGATGTGGTGCTCTAGTGAGCAGGTTTGATGGTGTATGTGTAGGATTTGCCTCAGAAATAAACACTTGATTGTTATATGTGTGATATTGTAATGAGGGCGCATGCCACTCATTGCAATAATTTGGCTCATTTATGTGTTTTAGTACTTTTTTGGAGCAGTTCCTGACTACAAAAGACCAGTTTGGTCTTTTCATGGGATTTGTTGATAAGGAAAATATGGAAAATTGTCAGCTGTATGTTTTAAATGTGTGTGTTTGTGTGCGCGTATGTGTGTGTTTGTGTGTGCATGAGAGATTCTTTTAGACACTTTTCCATGCCATGCTCACATCTGGTCCAGACTCTGAAACATATTCATGCCAAAAATCACTGGTAAACATCCTGTAAACATTACTTCAGTGACATTTCAAGAGAGAGTAAAGATGCACACAAGTAATGGAGGGTGAACAATAAAAGAAAGCACAGAAGAACATCGACAATTGTTCTAATGAGCACATGATGGAATGAATTCAAACTACTACCGCTACCTATACTACGAATACATCACAGGGCCTGAATCAATGGCTAATAATATAAGTTATAGTGGTGTTGGTTGTATGTTGGCTGATATGCAATACATTTACAGTAATAATGCAGTAAAAGGTGGTTTAATAGCAACAGTGTCATTATTAGTTTGTCTATTATCAGTATATCTTCTTTTTTTTCATTTTACTACCAAATATTGGTGTCCATATCAGCCCCCGAAATCCCCCAAATCAACTGGGATCTACTCTTCTGAGGCAGCTTCCAAAGGTCCAGCAAGCTTAGCGCAGGACTCCAAATAATGGTGAAGCACATTGTAATTACCATGAGTATAATTGAATGCACATGTAGCCTTGTTTGGCTTTAAAGGCGCTGATTCAATAAGGGCAATGTAGACCGTCCGTCTTGTCACTTGATCTGCCTCTTCATCTTCTGCTATGTGAATTTAATTGTGTTTTAATGTGTTTCTAGCACGATAAAGGAACCACACATGAGCTCAGATTGAAAGAAAGATACCGGGTGTTGTACAGAGCACACAAACACACACACATATACGGCCACGTGTATGCGGCCTGTAGATATTAACACTGTGATATGTCACACGTATCTTTATGACAGAGTACATTTAATTCAGCCTGGCCTCGAAATGCAATGTTGAGAAATGTAACTACTGTATGAAGCACAGCGATGTCGTAGAGCCAAGTGTGTGTGTGTGCGAGTCCTTGTTACGACCCTCAAATGGATGCAAGTATTTCAGCTTCATGCCGTTGCATTTTTGAGCCACGTTTCTTCTTCTATCTTATGTGATGTCATCGCAGCACACCAACTCTGGCTCGTTTTTTTTGTCCGCGTAACCATTTGTGCAAAGTTTTATTAACGTCTTGACTTTTTGTTTGCATATAGAACGTGAAGTAGTGCTCGCCATATAGGATAACGAATAAGGCGTTAAATATAGTGTATAAGCTAATTTGCAGCGTATCTAGTTAAGCAATAAGTCTGTTGTATCTCCCTTTATATGGCATTGGCCTGTATATGCTTTGTACATATGGAAATACACGGATGAGATCTACGTACATGCTATTGTACATAGAGGAATGATGCATTTGAAATCCAACAGCCATCGTTATTTTTCAGAGAACATGAAATTGTTTTTGTACATGAGTGAATGATTAAATTTGAAAAACACCTTTAAAAGATACATTGTGTTTCTTCCTCACATGTTCAGTTTGTTTGTGTAGAAAAAAGAGACAAAATCTTTCAAAAACAAATCATATTTATAGATAAGCAAGACATTCAGTATCAAACATTGCCCGACCCACATGACACAGCATGACCCAGAAAACATACGACACTCCAAAATATCCATAGAAAACCAATGCACCACATTCACAAAAATGTACAAAACTCAGTTTAAACAGCTTTACATTCCAGCTGAACTCTCCAACTATACTGTATTACACCGTTTAATACAGTAATATTACACCGTTTACAGCAGTGACAAACGGCGGAGCGAGATCAGTGCATGAAAGGCCTGGAGGATGAGAGACGGAAGGCAGCGAGTGGAGAGGACATGATCAGAGGAAGAGGAGAGAAGGAGGAGGTGGAGAGGTTTACAGTGAAAGCAGAAACAGATTATGTCATATCCAGAATCAACACAGACTCAAAGAGACATAAAGATGGGACGACATCATATCAAATATGCTTTCTTCTCCTCTACTTCGTCCCTCTCCTCCTCTTCATCGAAGGACGCCACTCCAGAGGAAGCCCGGTCGGAGAAGAAGCTCCTCCGGCTGGAATGCCAAGCACGAGACTCGTGAAACACGCTGCCTTCCTCGTCCTCGTCTTCCTCGTCCTCCTCTCCGGGAGACTCGGAGCGAGAGGTGGAGTAGCAGGAGTCGAACCTGCTGCTCCTGGCCCGAGGCCTCCACTCCGGCTTGTGGAGGATGCACACCTCACTGTGCTGCTCCTGTGGAAGGGCCGGCCGCTCCTCGTGACCATCCTCCTCCTCCTCCTCCTCCTCCTCCTCCTCCTCCTCCAGGAAGGGACTCATGCAGTCGCTGGGTAAAGTAGGCGAACTGGTCTGCGATGAATGTGGGTCACTGTGAGATGCAGGCCTGCCACTGCTGCTGGAGCACAGGGGGCCATCGGAGGGCGGTGCCTTGCTGCCTTCGACATCAGGCTGGCACGGCGCTCCGTCGATAGGATTGGACGTGGTGGCGTCTGAGGGAGGAGCAAAAAGTCAGAACACCTGGAGATGGATGGACAATTGGGACGGGAAGGGAAGATGAGGCGGTTCGTCAGTGAAGATGCAGTAATGAAGACGATGAGTGATGAAAAGAGATAAATGGTGGTGACTGTGGATACCTGAGCTCTGGCTGGATAAGGTCTGAGACTGTCCGTTGGTGGGGGAGTCCTCATCGTTGGAGTCTTCCTCGTCATCGTCTATAGACGCCCAGGCACGCAGTTTAGCCTCAGCGATGGCAAACTGCTCAGCCACTCCTAGCAGGAACACAGGTCCAATACATGAATAACCCCTTCACATAAAGGAATAGTTGGGTGTGACCAGTTAAACCAAAGGCGGGATTTTCTTTCTGGTTTTATTTGAACATTTCTAATAAAATTAGAAAAGTCTGAAAAAAGGTATTTGCATTCGGCTAATTACCTCCTGATGCCTCCGATTTGTCGTTAAAGGGGAATCACTGAATGAATGAATTTAATAGAGCGAGACCAGGGAAGTGTGATTATTCTGGTGTTTTTGTTAGTACATTAAACAAGGGTGGAATAATACTGCAACCCTGTCTCTTCTTTGGAAGTTGTTCATTTTTGTTTTGATGATGTCAATCTGTTTTAGCAACATGCCAGGTTTTTGTCAGAATGAGTCTAAAGTAGGGCTTTCTAATCTGCAGTTTATTTACATCTTAAAATTGTTCATTTGGTTTTACCAACAGTCCGAAATGCAAAAATATTCAGTTATGATAATATATAAAGCAAAGCAAAGCCGGAAATAATAATATTTAAGAAGCTGGTATCAGAGTTTTTGTTTGAAAAGTGTCTCAATCGATTAATTGATGATCAAGATAGTTAACGTAAAAATGTTGTCCATCCAACAGTCGATGAGTCGACAAACACTGATCAAAGAAATAAACTTTATGATGTACATGATGTACAGTCACCATGCACTTCACTTCCCTCCCTCTCTCACTTATTCGCTCTCTAGATCAAACCACGCCGATGTCACCAGTGCCAGAGAGGATGAGTCACAGCAGAACAACAGGGGCTGTTGTACGATTGGTGGGCAGTGAAGTGTTCTGAGAGAGTGTCTAATAAGACACCATCTGCTGCCAGGACAAGCCATCACCCAAGAGACAGCATGGTGGGCGGAGCGGACCACTGACATACAGGAGTTGTAGGGGATTAGGTGCATGACAGAAGGTGGGGAAGCCTGCCATGAGATGATGCCGGAGCTAAACCGAGCTAAGTAAGAGGATTCACGTGCCCACACAAACACACTCAAAAGCTGGATTCAAAACATATCCCTGGCTAAAAGGTCACAGGAATGAATACCTGCAGCGAACCGGGCCTCCTTCTCTCCTTCCGTCAGATGGCAGTAGGAGCTAAAGTGGGCGGCTGGCGGGGGGCCGGCAGGTTTGGGCCAACCCTTCCACTCGATGAGGTGGGCGACCCGGCCCTGAGCCAGGGAGGTGGGCTTCGTCACATGGTCCCTCACTGCCTGAGAGATACCTGGACACAGAGAGGTAGGGGTTCAGAGTCTGAACTTGGACATTTGATCACGGTTTACAAAAAACACACCAAAAAGTAAAAAGGTTACCATTTAAGGAGGATCTGGCAAGTGCTGCAAACTCATGGATGCCGACACTTTTCCTCGAGTCTGCTGGGGATTTTCCTGACTTTGGAATCATTTCACGCTCCTTGAATTTCACCTGCAAGACATTTTTAGCAAAACTACTTGTTTTGCACCAATGCACGAAAGCAGCACATAAGTTCTGTTTTGTCTACATTTTGGGTGTCACACTCAGCACCAGTCAGATGTTTTAATATTCCACAAAACACTCAATGTTTACTTTTCCAATATTGACGCAGTGAGGAACATTCTAATAGCAACTCAATGAAAAGCTCAAATTCAAATATGAATCACAGGACAAACATACTGACAAACACACCGCTGTGACTTCTATGCCAAAATAAATGCTTCATCCCAAGACGAAGCTCTGTTGCTTATAAAATAATTTTAAAAAAAAAGACTTTTCCTACCTCTTCCTCTCTTTGTCTCTCCTTTCTGTCTCTACTCCTGGATCTCAGCCTCATTGTGGACATGCAGAAATAGTGTCACAACTAAAAGTCACACAGCTTGGGTTCGCTGGTTTTAAACCACCAGGCAGACAAGCAAACAGCCATGCCCTACATTTACTGCACAGAAGCTAAAGCCACAGTAAGCCTCTGAAACCGGTTACAATGGTTGGGGGTTGAGGGAGGTCAGGGAGTTAATTAAGGGTAGTGGTGACAGTCTCCATGCGACAGGGCAAACATATGGCGTGTGACCAGCTCCAGCCAGGCCAACTCACCCCAAAGCTGCTGATCCTTAATAATAAAAGTGATATTTCTACTCACCTTACTCCGCCTCCAAAACAAATTCACACACAACTGTCACCAAGTAGATCTGGGTCCAGTTGCATGAACTTAGTTTACGACTAGTCTCGACCTTAGCGTGGTCTTAGATTGTCAGGTCACACTGACGTTAGACTAATTAAGCCTGTCTGTTGCATAAATATTAAGACTGAATGAATTTGAGGGAAGAAAGTTAGTCACCACTCCCCCTGGCTTTGCCTGAGGTAAGAGCTCTGTATGGCATCAAATTGTTAGAAGATCAGTCAGGTTGCCAACTATTTAACCATTAATCAAGCTAACCTTTAGCTACCTATTTCTACTCTTTACGCATTATTAAGCTAATTTTTGCAAACTGTTTCAACTGTTTATTCATCACTTTTAGCTTATTTTCTGCTCTGTGAAGTGTCTTATTTCCCCCTTGATGAATTGCGCGACAGGCTATCTCAGTCAGTCTTACATTATAGTCACTCAAAGGCAAGCTTTGCTCAACAGGTACATTTACGTGTCTGTAGCTGACTTATATATTCAAGACACATTCTAGGCCTATTTTTATGCAGCTGGCCCCTGGTGGGTCAGCTAAATCTGCTGGAGGTGCTTGGAATAAGTCTCCTTTTTAGGGCAGGTGAGTCTTTTCAACAAGCAGGAAACATGTTGCCTGAAAACAACTGTGAGCGCGTGCATGACTTGACAGATATTCTAAAGCAGAACGGCGCCCAAAGCAGCTGAGGAAGAGGAGGCTCCTGACGGGTGGTTAAAAGGCTTACATTGGAATCAAAAATGGCAGTAAATGTGTGTCAGAGGCACACAGGCAGGTAGAAAGCTGGGAGGCAGTGATATGAAGCTCCGGTGACATTCAAACATTGAGCTTCAGCTGCAAAACACATCTGTGAGCACTGCACACGTCCCCCATGCTCAACACTGATAAACACATGTGGAGCTCTGCAACGCTCCCTCCTGAGACACATCTTGGATGTCTTAAATTACTTGTTATTTTGGGTCATATGACAACAAAAATATTAATTTCATAACCACCCAAAAAATGTATTAAATAGTTATTTAAACCTTTAAAGACTAAAGTTATAGAAGAATAAATGACAAATGAAACACTAATGGAAATAATAATTAGTTGACTGTTGATATTTGCCATTTTTTCTAAAAAGCCCACCTGCATATGATTTTGCCTCTCTGGAGCACTTAATTGTGTGATGTTGCTTTTAGAAACTCCCACTTCAACACGCTGATTGCCAGCTGGCAACTGCTGCTAATTGGCATTAATCCTAACAACATGTGTAGCAGCGTATGCAACTGTAATCAAGTTGCTTAAAGTCCTTTCTTTATATGAGATGTTTGGATTATATCGTCCACCCCCTGCAGAGGCAGACTGCTGTGCGCCTTTTTGACGTGGAACATGGATTAAACATGTCCAACAGCCAGTGGTGTGACTTGACCAACAAGTGGGATCGAGTAAAGCCAGTTTGACTGCAGCTAAACACCTTGTACCTGGCATGGATGGAGGGAGCTGCAGTGCTGATGGTGTTTTTGGTTCTCTCAACAGAAGCGACACACCGACGACTGAACAACGCATCAGCCCGCCATTGATCGGTGCAGGCCTGTAGCGTGCAATTATGGGGGAAATAACGCACGAGAGGCGCGGATGCAGCAGCGGGTTTCCCGGAAACCTCTGAAGTCTCCGTCTGCATACCAATAGCTTCATACCTGCATCGGATAAACAACACGGGAGAGATGCCGAGAGACGCTGCCCTCTATACGCACCTCCACGGCGCTAACGATGCTCGTGTGCGTGTAATTACACCTCCCCCCACTCTCTCTCTCTCTCAACGACTCTCGGTACCTACCTGTAAATCGGACCGCGTCGGCTCATGATAATGCGCTTTAATTGTCTCCAATCCGATCAACAGATGATAGCGCGCGGTTCGTCCCCCTGCAGCGGGCTCTGCAGTGGATCATTAATGTCACTCAGTCGGTGGAAACATCTCTCAAACTCCAGCATCAGGGTCTCCAGCACAGACGCACCATTTGTTGCTCGGTATATGGGTTACATATAGGCTGTCCAAATGCCTCCCGATGGCGAGCGTCATCAACGCAAGGCGATGTCACATCCACCCCCCCCCCCCCCCCCCCCCCCTAACCAAGATCAAGATACAGTAACCTGCAGGTTTGGCCCCGGAAAGCACTGTAGCTGATTTATTTTTATTTTTTTTATAAACAAACGTTACCGCACACATCTGCAGTCATTTGGGGAACAGACTCAACAGGACGCATGCAGGGTGGACATGCGGTGTATGTGTGGACATTTACTGCAGTCTGAGATCACGGAAAAACGCTCGAAGGATCCAAAAATAATTTCGTGATTTAAAAAAAAAAAAAAAAAAAAGAAGAAACTGCCATCATGCCAATTTGACCTTATTTGTCCAGTTATGTAGCCCAGAACAAGAGACTTATTTAAAAATAAAACGAGACGTGCGTACAACGCTGGATTACCAACCAGCCCCACATCCACTCTGTTGGTTTGTGGTATTTCAAACTATCAGTGTAACGTGGTTGTCAGAAGACAAAGGACATATTAAGGTGTTTGGTAATGTACAGTATTTCAACAACCATAACTTCTCATAGACACTTATTGTATGATTTAAAACTGTTTCACTATATTGTCATTCATTGTTTATACACAAGCATCCAGTTATGGTTGCTTTACAATTTGAGTTATCTTAGACCAATACAACAATAAACACAATTAAACTATTTTGTAACATATTATAAATCATTTATTAAAAGTATAGCCTATATGTTTATTAATGCTAAATAGAGTTGAACCAAGTGTTACTCTTTAAGGGCCATGAGAGTTATCTTACATTGTGAGAAAATATAGTTTAAAGATTTTTAATGTCCTATTTCCTTTACATGGAGCATATTGCTAAATAATTTTGTTTCATTGAAATACCACAAACTGAGTTAACGTCTTTGCAACAGTGCTGAATTGTATCTGGAGCCCCAGGTAAATTAATTATATTAATTGTTAGCAGATTAATCAACACTATTTTGATATTTAAGTAAAGAAATGCTGAACATTCAGCTTCCACCTTCTGTGAGGATGTGTTCACTTTCTCAGTTTTCTACCATGTTGTATATCTATACACTCCTTTCAGACATTTGAAGTCATCATAGGATTGTGGTTCAAGCTTCATAGTTTTACTGCATCGGTGACATCATGGCTGATAACCAGTCCCCTTAATGAGGTCAGTCCTCTGAACCATAAACACACACACATTCAAACCACAGGGGCGTCAGACAGACGTAAGCAAAACTCTGCTCAGCAACTTAAGAAGTCCTTTATTTGCAATGCTCCATTACCTCATCTTTCCAGTTTCCGATGCAAAAGAAGCAATAATTTCTTAAATAAAGAAAGCAAAAAAAAATATTTACAAAATTCCACAATTAATAATCAATGGATTATCTAAAGCACCTCTCTGCATCTGGACAACTGCTGTTTCTGTTGGAAAAGTATACACTGCAATTACATCAGCAATTTGTTTCTGAAAAATAAAACGGAAAAAGACGTTTTTTTTAATTATTATATATTTACAGAACGCTCCTGAAATAAGTTTCCACTTGAAGTAGAAAAGGCTTTCGGATCATTTCTGTGTTTTTTTTTCTTTTTTTGTAACTTTATATATTTTCATCAAGTCAATTTTCTGTCGATTTCAAGTTTTACCGGTGATTGGGTCATTAAGTGTCCTCTACGACAGCTCGGGTTTAAGTATAGAAGAGGTAAAGATGAAGAGTCAGTGTGGTTCACTACTGGGGGATGGGAGAGGATGGCTTAAAGGAAGCATTAAGACCACCCCTAAGTAGTCAAAGGTCAACACCAATCCGTGTTTCTGCCCTCCCGAAATTCATGATGGGGAAACAGGAAGAGAAAAGAGACGACCTTTGCATTAAAAACTCCATCCATCAAATCAAGATGAGTTCATGTACATTTTTTTTCTATCGACGTTTCGTCCACTGTATCATTAATAGAAACACACTTCAGCCATGCTGCACACTCCAGTAAGGGACAAAGACATAAGAGCCGAGTTTGGATTGAACACACATTATGGCATGACGATACCCACGTATCAGGGAACCCACTACACCACGTGGTTTTACGCTTGCAGATCAGATAGGATGTCAGGCATTAGAATTATCTAGAACCATAAAAAGCAGCCGGTTGGTTTGTATTCTTGTGAGAAAAAGAGTTTTGTAGTAACGTGGGATACCTCACACCTCGCAACAAGCAATCCCGCTGCGTCAGCTTTCAAGTTTATTTGCTGAGGACACTTGCTGTGACAAGCAGGTGGGGACATAATGAGGAAGCAAGAGAGGGAGGGGTAGAGAGAAATGATTGTTTTCCGAGTCCATCCCTCAACAAAAAGAAAAAATAAAATAAGATATATCCTCATTGAGGATTGATTTGAGTCTGCCTCTCTGGCAATATTGTCTGACTCTCTGCAGCCGCCTGCAGAGCCCGCCTTGAGGGGGGGGGGGGGGGGGCGGCGGCAGCTTTCAGTTCAGTCTTATTCCTTGTCGGACTCCTCCTCGGCCTCGCGGAGCCAGGTGAAGAAGGCGGTGACTGATTTCAAGGCCACACCTTTGCCCGTTTGCTCCGCGAGGTCTTTGCTGGTTTCCCATTTGTAGAAGGCCTCCTCTTTAATGACGTCCTCGTCGTACAGGGCATCGAAGAACATCCGCAGCAGGTCTACGGAGACGGGATACAGAGGTCAGTATTGATCTGGCATTGAATGTAATGAGAGACAGTTTGCTGCAGAGGAGGAGGAAAAAGTTCATACAGTTGAGTTTGTGCCGCTTGCTGGTGGTGATAAAACACGATAATGTTTGGCGGGCTACTGCATGGCAAGGTATCTGTTATTTTGTCCACCTCTGTGCGTTTAGCCCCAGCACATTACTGCTGGCCCCTCTCCCATTAGATTAATACTCACTCGCTGGCTGCTCCATGTGCACCATCAGAGCCTGGAGGGCGTAGAGGGCCTGCAGCTCTTTCAGCTCATCAGACAGGTATCTCTGCAGCAGACTGGCCCTCTGGTTGATCTGCCGTGCATCCACCTTGTACGGGGTGTCACCTGAAACAAGGAGAGGCAAACTCAGAGACTGGGACCCGACCGTCTTGTATCCCATGCTGTGATTTGCGTTGGTGAGATTAATCATCACGGAACATCGATGTATCGTAACACTAAAACATGTTAAACATGAAGAACTCATACCGCCGCTGTGAGATGAACAGGCCGCTGTGAGATGAACAGGCCAACAGTGGTGACTAACACACAAAAGACACATTTCTGCCAACAGCCTTTACTTCCACATGCCGCATGAGTCATACTTACATATGATGGCAGACTGACACACTGACGTCATCAATGCTCGTACAAACTGGTTGGAAGCGGTTTGCTCCTCGTCCAAGTTAGCCTGAAAAAAAGAAGAAGAACAAAACAGTTGAACAGGGGAAACTTCAAAGACTCCTGTAACTTTTATATGGAATGAACCACATGGAATATCCATGTCTGAACTAGAACATGAGCCACACCACCGGTACGTGTAACACACCTCAGCCCAGTCTCTGATGCGCTGGTTGTTGGCCTTGTCCTGGAAGAGTCTTTCCAGCTGTTTGCCGAGCTCCTCTCCAGTGAGGACCTTCTTCTCATCAACTTCCTTCGACTCCAACTCCTCTCCTGTGGTGAACTCCACTTTCTAAATCACGCAACAAACAAAGAAGAGGTTCATAGGTTTGTTGGCTTTTAATTCTTTGTTAAGTGTGTATTGCCGGTAGGTCGGCATTTGTGTCAATAATTTGCTGCAATTAAACTAGTTAACAGATACGTAAGGCAAATATTGGCACATTGTATGACGGAATTTCATTCAAAGCCTTCTCTGTATGAGAGCTTACCGTCTCCCTTTATGTTATTTCCCCAATGCCTCCACCAAACTTGTGTCACCCCCAAAAACAGCCCAAGAGGTTGTTTTTAGTCGTTTGTGTTTCACTGTCTTGAACTACTTCAGCCTACAGACCTGCTCAGTGACGAACTTGTTGACGTCTTCATCTTCGGGCAAGAAATCGCTCCAATTCAGGCCTCCCGCGGTCCACATTGCCCCGACCTTCTTCGGGGTCTGACGGGTGGTAAAAACATTAAATCCGATGAGTAATGAAATGAAACGGATGTGAAAGTTCGCACTCAAGCGGGTGGATTCGTGAAGGACGTACCATTTCTTTGCAGAGCAACTTGAGGATCTGCACCAGCAGCACGCCGGCCTGCCCCAGAGGCACGAGAGGCTTGGAGATCTCCCTGAAGACAACACACACACGCTGAATTATGCTCTGGACTTTCCATGAACTATTCCATCACTCAGCAGTTTCATGTATTGCTAAAAACCACAGTTATACTCAACACCAAGAAATAAAGTTTGAGTGTTGTGAAAGGAAAAGTGAAGAAGGAATTACAGATGAGAGTAACTACAAACACCTCTGTATTATTTGGGAGAAGATGTTTGAAGATTTTGAGCTGCATGCGTGAAATTGGTGTCAAAGTTCCCACACCCAAACGCCCTGAAAATGTTGCTCTACGTCTCAATGAATGAAAAAAAATCCAATAAGAATAAAGATGTAATTCTTGGTGAGAGGAACGGGTTGAAGGTATCAGTTTCTGACAGACGACAATGTACAGAAACTGGGCTTGCTCAGACACATTTCATTTTTGCTGACTTCCAGCTCACCTGAAGATCTGTCCCATAGGGATGCCTCCCTCATGGAGCATGGGGGTGATGAGTTCAGCCAGGTAGAGCCAGATGTGAGGTATATCTATGGCCATGTCTTCCGCAGCCTCCAGGGTCTCTTCTAGCCTACAGACCCAGACAACACAGCATTCAATCTCACTTGAATCACAAATAAGTTCAATGTTCTCAGTCTGTAAGGAGTAAATCAGAATGCACTAGAGGTGAAAAAATGTTTCAGACATTGGAAAAGCAGTGTGACTTTTGAATCCGTTAAAGCTCACCCTTTGTAGTACTGCTCTGAGGGCAATACCCCAGCCTTGACCAGGTGGTGCAGAAACAGGCCCGTGCGCTCTCTAGCAATGGTGCTGCGCTCCAGCGTCGACTCCACGCCGGTCCGCACAAACACATAGAGCTGCGAGGCACTGTTGAGTTCTGTCACGCACTGCAACGCCTCCTACAGCGGGAGGAAGAGGACGCACAAAATAACGGCCGTCAGAGCGGATTCAGATTCCAAGCATTTTGCTGGTTAAGCCCGATAATGAGCATACGTTTAAGTACAATTCACTGTGTTGAATGAGAGTTTACGCGGCGTCATGTTTGTACCTTCAGGTCATTAAGGTGAAGGTATTCTTCAATGATGGCGTTCGACTTCTTCTCCAACTCCTCTTCACTCAAGGCAGGTTTTGGAAGAGACGGTAGGGGAGTTGGAGCGCTCTCACGCTCAACTGCAGAGGAAAAACGTCACAATAAGAGTTAAATAGTATTCCAATCTCTGTGCGTACACAGCCTTTCCTCCATCTTTATACCATTATATCCATATCAAATCTTCACTTTTGCTCAGTGGGTTTTTCACCTTGGAGATCTTTGCTTGGAGACCTGGCCCGGCTTCCTCGGTCCCGGCTTCCTCGGTCCCGGCTGCCTCGGTCCCGGCTTCCTCTGTGCCGGCTGCCTCGGTCCCCGCTGCCTCGATCTCGGCTTCCTCTGTGCCGGCTTCCTCGGTCCCGGCTTCCTCGGTCCCGGCTTCCTCGGTCCCGATCGTCGGTCATGCTGGCCACGCGACGCACAGGCTCAGTTAAGGCCCGGAGGTCGCCGGTCCTCCCGCCGCGCTCCTGGGACTCTCTGCTGAAGCTTCTCTTGGTGATTTGGTTTGGGGTGCTCCGGCCGTCACGACCCTCTCGTCCCTCGCTGCGATCGAACCGATCCCGCTCACCCTTTTCTCTGTCGCCACCACGCTCGCGGCTGGAGCTCGACCTAAAGGTAGCAAGTGACACAAAAGGTCCACATGTTTCGCAATGTTGCGCATTCCAATCTAATCTTAAACTGGTTGCTCTCAGGTTGCGTGCACAAACATGGAAGTGTCAAAAAAATTCTTACAGGCTATTTAATCTTTAAAAAGATAAAGTAGACAATACCTCTGAGGAGCTCTGTGATCAGAGTCAGTTGAAGCCGCCACTGAACCGGACTGTTGCAGGGCTGAGAAGCGATTGACGGTGCTGGTAGCTGGACGACCAGTCTCTAAAAAAGGAACAGGAAAGATTAACTCTCCAATCACTAAAACAGCTTAAAAGTACACTTCTTTTTTTGTTTCTTTTAAATAGGTGTTTTACCCGGCTCTCCGCTTGCTGGTTTTGCTCCAGTTCCTCCACTGCTGCCTTTGCCCCAGCTGCCCCACATGCCTTTCCCCCCTGGAGCCAACAGTTGATTGTTGAAGTCCAGAGAACCAGGCTGAAGGTAAACACACAAGTTACATCAACACACAAGTTGCATACACATTAAGGCGAGTCGCATATCATCAGGTTCAACTGAAGACAGTGTAATTGTGAAGGCTTGTGACTCGGCAGAATAAGTGTGCGAGATGGGGAGGGATTTCTTACAGTGCACCCCAAAACACAAACACTATATTTGACTATACGAACAAGCGTCAGTGAAAACCTGAAGCTGGGTACAAAATAAATAAACCAAGTGAAACTGTCCGTGTTAGACGTGGACGTTACCTTTGTGATCTTGCTGAGGCGGGTGGTGTCGATGGGTCTGTTCTTGGAGATGGGCACCGTGTTCCAGCCCTCATCCTGAGGCTGGCTATTCCGGCCGCCTCCTTGTGTGTGAGAGCCACGGCCCCCCATGTTCCCTCCCATCCTACCGCCGCCGCCGCCTCCTCCTCCTCCTCCTCCTCCTCCTCCTCCTCCTCCTCCACTTCCCTTGGACAGAAGCTGCTGCTGGACTTTGATGTGTTCCCTGTGCTCCTCCAGCTCTGCATCCTTGTGGATCTGTTCGATCGTTTTAGGACCCTGTTCTCCTCTACGAGGCACCCAGCTACACTGTCGATCAGAAATGGAAGATGGTTATCAAACAGTCTGTAACCGCTCCAACGCACGTCCTTAATGTCTACATTCATGGCTCCCACGCGACTCATAATCCCCGTGGATTACATCACGCGCTGTACAAAACAATTCTGCTCATTCAGGAATATTTCTAAGCATTAGTCACCACCATAAATGCCTGATATTGGCTCTTTATTACAATATCCCGTTAATATTTACCCTTCTTAGGTCTATGACGTCTTGTAGCATGAAGCGGATTCTGGATGAGGTCTTTTTCTCTTTGATGATCTTGTCCATCTGGGTGAAATACTGATCCATACGAGGCTAACGGGGAAAAGACATAAAAATTAGCTTTTAGGAATCATGAATACTAAAAAAAGAAGTCATTCCTGGAGGCTGAATGTGTAAAATGTTTGCGTGTTCACGCTTTACTTACCTTGGCCTTCTCAAAGTCCAGGTCTTTGCCAATAGTGGAGAGCAGCCTGCAGAGACACTCCACAGACTCTTCATCGTGATTCTTCAGTAGTTTCACTACACAGTCGTGCATGATGGCCTCCGTCAGCATCTTCAGCTTGAAGAGCTCCCCAATGAACTTTATATTACCCAGTGACCGGCGGCGGGCCTGGTCTCTGGCGCTCTGCAGCTCCACCCTCAAGCGCTCCCGCTCCTCTCCCTAAGGGCAGACACAAGACCGGTTTAGTCGAAAACACAACACTGTGGTGGCTTGCGACAGCAACGGTAAAAAGAGCTCATGTCTTACTTCTTTGGCAGCCTCCAATTCTTTTTGCTTCCTCTCAAAGATTTCGTCATCGTCCTGATCCTTCTCAAACTCTTTCTGGCAGCGGTTGAGCAGCAGTTTGCGGAAGTTCACAAAAACGCCTGGCTTGTCCGAGGTGGGGACTTTCAACTGGAGGAGGAAAACATCGAGTACACTTTAACATTTTTATTGAGTACACATTTTTCATGTCGCTGATAATTATATGGCTTAAAAACGCCGACTATAAACATGCGATTATAAAAACAAACTAGTGTGAGATTGTGCTTCAGTGTCATCGGTGACTTACCCCCATAAGGCAGCGGCACATGTTGGCGTAGGCCACGGAGAAGTTGGGCTCTGAGATGGCCTTCTCAAAGATAAGGTCAATGGTTCCCTTCAGCCTGTCCTCTGTGTCTATCGTCAGGTCCGTCACCTGTTTCATCAGCTCCTGAAACTTCTGAGGGGTCAGCTTGTTGAGGATACTGCGCAGACGCTTGAACAGCTCCTTAGTCTTGGCCTGTTCGGGATCGTCGTCTTCCACTTCGGGATCCTCCGCGCCGCGGCCTCGAGTGGACTTCTTCCCCGTGGGCTTCCAGGCCTTCTCGGCCTTGTTGAGCTGCACGTCTTCGCCGTGGGACATGCTGCTGAGGATGATTTTCCTCGGCTCTTTCCTCTGACCCTGCTGGGAGCGACGTGGGCCAGGCGGCTAAAAAGGAAGGAGAGGGATGCACATTTAGAAAATAAATCTTATACAACAACACAAATACAGTGAATAAGTATTCACAGTCCTTGGTGGTTTTTAGTTACATTACAACCTGGAATTAAAATGGCTTATTTGAATTTGATGTAATGGAACTACACAAAAAAAAGTCAAATTGGTGAAGCAAAATGAAAAAACAAACAAACTCAACAGTTGTCTGTGCATCCTTTGCTGTGAAGCCCCTAATAATAAGATCTGGTGCGATCAATTACCTTCAGGTGTCACATAATTAGTTAATTAAAGTCCACCAGTGTGCAAGTGTCACATGATCTGTCACTTAATCTAAACAGAGCACCATTAAGTCAGTTAGTAAAAATGTAAAGAATATAGCACCGAAGAGGGGCCAGCAATGCACATATAAAAAAAAGCAAGTAAGTAATTCAGCAATGTATTGTTTAGAATTTGTGAACATTTATTTTATTTCGTTTTCATTTTACTGAACCAATTTTGACTATTTTGTTTCGGTCCATTACATTAAAATCCAAATAAAAATCTATTTTATTATCCAGGTTGAAATGCAAAATAGGAGAAATGCCAAGAGGGGTGAATGCTTTTGCAAGGCACAAAACAAGGAATTATTATTATTGCCATAATCAAAAGGGTCAAGACTTTTCCTCACCGGGCCTCGTGGTCCTCCCACCGATCTGCTCCCAAGGTTCCCCAAATAAGAGGGAGTAAAGTCAGGACCAACATTCATCATTCGAGCTGGGTCAGGAGGCCGCATTGGAGTCTTGTTCGCCTGGAGTTAAAGAGGAAAACTTACCAGTTTGTCCATAAAAAAAAAAAAAAAATCAATAAACGCTGACAAGACAAGATGGACGTCAAGTTTCCTCATCCTCTATAACAATCACCATTGTATATTCAAAAACGAGTTACACTAATGAGATCAACAGTTCAGTAAAATGCTTAACAAAAACTTCCTGTGTAGCCTCTATCTCAATATATTATTTTTCCTTAATGTCCCACATGAATGACATTACCTTGTCCAGGACCACGTCACTGATGGTGGGCAGTCCATCGGGTTTGTTCATACTGGCACTGATGAACTGGAAGCCCAGGAGGAACTCCCTGTCGTACCGCTTCTTGTCTTCTGGGTCTATCGGCTTCCATTGCTCTGAAAAAGGTACGAGACATGTTTTTTTAATATATATTTTGCTTTTTATGCACCTCTATTTAGATTTTTGTGTGCATAACAACCATAGCTACAGGTGTACATCAAAACAGCAGGAGCGACTGACCGTTCTTAAATCACAACATACCTTCTTTGTACTGGTATTTCTGGTCAGTTGTCTCAGGTGTGGCTTTAGGTCCTGAGCTCTGCTTGTCTTCTTTCTCCTCCCAGGTCTCATCTGGAACCTCGGCGGGAGGTTTAGGTGGAGCAACAGGGACGGGGTCGGCCTGAGTGGACGAGGGTTCAGGGGCAGGCTTGGCTTCTTGCTCCTGCGGCACAAAAACAAAAAGAGATGAAGAAGTATTATGATAACCCAGTTACCCGTCAGAGTTTGTTTTGGTATTAAATATCCTAAAAAACATTATTGATACAGCTGAAACTGCTGAGACACTTGAACACCGTGACCTCATGTTAATTTCATGTTGTCATCTGGACTGTTACACACCTCTGTGAAGGCATCCAGGAGGTCTCCAATGGCCTCCTTCTTGTTCAACTCCTTCATGTTCTTCCTCTTCTTTGGCACAGACGTTGCAGCTTCAAGACAAGGACACGGTGTTGACATTAGAATCCAGCACAACTCACATGATGATCAGAAATGCAAGCCAGGAATCCACTCCACCTACCTTGCATAGTGGATTCCTCTGCAGGACAGCTGACAGAGGCGGGAGGGGCATCCTCGTTTTTCTCTTTCTTCTCCTCGTCTTTTTTCTCCTCTTCTTCTTCTTCTTCTTCCTCCTCCTCCTCCTCCTCCTCCTCCTCCTCCTCCTCCTCCTCCTCCTCCTCCTCCTCCGCTACTGCTGATGATGATTCCTCCTCCTCCTCCTCTGCTGCTGCTGCTGATTCCTCCTCCGCTGCTGCTTCCTCCTCCTCCGCTGCTGCTGCTGCTGCTGCTTCCTCCTCCTCCTCCTCCTCCTCCTCCTCCGCTGCTGCTGCTGCTTCCTCCTCCTCCTCCTCCTCCTCCTCCTCCTGCTGCTGCTGCTGCTGCTGCTCCTCTGCTGCTGCTTCCTCCTCCTCCTCCTCCTCCTCCACTGCTGCTGCTGCTTCCTCCTCCACCTCCTGGGCAGGCATTGACGTTTTAGCCACAGGTGTGGATTTCTGAGATTGAGAAGCGTCCGGCTTGTCAAGGGGCGTAGTGTCTAAAAATGCCACCTCCTCAGACAGTTCCTCAGACACTTCCTCTGTGTCCTGGGGAAGGCCGTTGAAGAGAAGAGGCTCTGCCGCTTCAGCGGGCGTGGGTTCAGGTTCAGAGCTCGGGGCGGTGGCGGTCTGGGTCTGTGGAGCAGCAGGTTCCTGCGCAGAGGGTGGAGGCGGAGAGACTTCAGTTTCTGTCTTCATAGCCGTCTCTGCTTTTGTCTCTTTAACGGGAGAAAATGTTGGAGCAACCTCAACTGCGGGCTCCAATTTAGCGCTGGCCACCTGCTCCTCTTTCTCCAATTCCTTCACTTCCTCCATTTTCTTTTCCTCCTTTTCGGGTGCCTTCTCAGCTGGAGCTGGGGCAGCCTGTGGTTCTTCCATTTTGACAGGCGCCTCTTGTGGTGCCAACGATGCTGAAGGGCCGACAGGAGCGTCAACCGTGTCACCAACTTTAGTCTGGACTGTATTTTCTGCCTCAGCAGGAGTAGTAGTAGTAGTAGTAGATGCTGCTGCAGGGAGGGGAGAGTGCAGGTCCTCATTCAAAGGGGATGGCACCTCAGCAGCAGCTGTCAGGGCCACAGATTCTGCGGCTGACTCAGCAGGTGGTGTCATCTGGTGGTCCGTTTCCTGTTTGGCCTCCTCCACAGGCTCTGTATTCGCTGTGGCAGGAGGTGGTGGGGTTTCAGCGCTAGCAGGGGGCTCAGTGTTTTCGTCTGGTGAATGAAACACATGAAATAATCACAATAAGGAATATGTGGAATACAGGCATCTTTTATTTTTTATGTAAACCAAAAGTGAGACACTGTACTCACCTCTTCTAGTCACTGTAGTGGCCGGCTGTGTAACTTCACCATTGGTCTGTGCAGGACTTAAATCTGATGCGGAGGCCTACAGAAGACAGTATTATGCGTTTTCTTTAGGTCTGATACACAGATATACAACCATTTTATGAATTAAATACACGAGTTTAATGTAGTCATTAAATAACTGCATATTTGTGTGCATTTGCTCCGTACTGTTTGTTCAGTGCTAGATTTATGCTGCGCTGATGATAGGATGTTAGCACACACATGAAAACATGCAATCAAATAAATGATTTGGGAGCTGGTATGTAAAGAATATCTAAGCGCTGACCATTTTCTGTGTCTATTGTTCATACGAACCAACCATATGTCATTTATTTTCTTCTAAATCAGAGTGTTATGTGTAATGAAATAGGATTAGTACATTAAACTGAATACATTTTGGTTCCACTTTTGGAAAAATGACGGCACAGTCAGATAAGCACACTGCCAATGTAGACAAAACAAAAGTCTAAATTCCTGACATTTTTTTAAACAATAAAACTGTCTGTCCTCTACTTTCCACACAAACGGTACATTTCGTCAGTACAGAACAGCTGATGATTTACATTTCTAAAACTATACCTTTATCCCAGAATAACACAAGCATAAGTCATTAGTTCAAGACTTACAATCAACTCTGCCTTTAACCTCGGACACGACCATGCTCCCTTCAAATGAGTGGAGAAAAACGAGTTTTCCCAGAAGGCTTCTTACCTGTGGGGGAGTCGGTGTGGTGGTGGACCTTCCACCTGACATGATCTCCTCTGTGATATCACGCCCGCCCTGGTTGGGGTCTCGTATCCTTATCTATAAGGAGACAGGGGAAATATTGGTTAGGTTTCCACGGAACACATATCCGACATTAGAACACAGACGGTATGTACGGATGCGGTCACTTCGGATCTATAGCCGCCACCCATCATGATAAATACCATTGTTATTTTCAGGTAAAAGGGAAAGTTCCACACTGAACAAACAATACTCCTTTCTGTCTATTCAAATTTTTTTTTTGACCTCAGACAAGAGGCGGGCTGCCCTTTTGTTGCAACACACTACCGGTTTGCGTTCCCTCTTTGGTTGCCCTTGTGACTGCGCCGGTGGTTGCTGAGGAGGCGGGGCTTGCTGCTGCTGCTGCTGTTGCTGGGCGGGGTTGATCATGACCGATGCCGGCTGGACAGACGGGGAGTACTGCGGCTGAGCTGGATAGTATGCTCCTGCTGTAGTAGTAGTAGTAGTAGAATGAAACAACAAAAAAATAAAGCATTTATGAAAAGAAAATACTTAAAAGTCGCAGCTTCACACTAAAACAACCATCCATCCGGGAGTTACAAGATCTGTGTCCCGTAGCTTTGACCAAAGATTCTATGTCAACATGTTTTTCTGAAACACCGCAAGGCCATTTGATGGTGTAGGTCACTCATTTTGTTTTACCTTAACATTGGATAAAAATTTAAAATGCAGGTTGCAAAAACGGAGTGAAGAGTCCTATAGGAAAATAAAACCACAAATCCACACAAAGAGCTTTTACCAGACTGAAGGTTGGACAGAAGCAGACTGTTTAAGTGCCGCGTATTGAGCGAACACAGACAACAGTACTTGCCATCTTATGATTATAAATCAAGAAACTTGCAATCCATGATTTCTTTCGCAGTGATCCTATGAAACACATCATTGAATAAAAAAGCTGAAGTATATGAAATTGTTACGGTGGAAATTCTGGCCCAGCTAGTAGGAAATCTGCAGACAGACTTTACAGCTCACCATCGGCCCCGTGTAGGCGGGCGGCTGGTCTTTAGCAGTAAATCAGGGCGAGATTGATTTCAGGGGCTAGTGCGTTTTTGCTTTCAGCCTTTATGTTATTGGCTCACTCCTACAACCTGATGTAACCTACACCGCACTGACACGGTGAGCATGAATTAAGGCGTACTGTCTGGTGGTATGATCATCATTAAGAGGGAAAAGAAATATCCAAAATATCATTCTTCATATTGGTAAGGCGAAGGTAAGATATTTATAGTAGAATGAATAATTTGTATGTATGCAACCTTCACTTTGTTCTCCATTTGCATATACAAGTCAAGATGTGTGTTACCCAAAAAACAACACACATTTACGACGCTATCAGAGACAGGAAGTGCCACAGAGATTGTTGCCACTAAAGCCTGCTGACCAACACACAAGCACACACACTACTCACCAGGGTAGCGCTGGGAGGTGAGAGGAGCACCATGGAGAGAGAGACGGCCGTTCTCTCGCCCGCCCCCTCTCCCCCCACCACCCCGCCTCTCCCTCGCAGCAAGAGAGGGATCTGAACCAACGCAGCAAACGAGAGGAAGGGAGTGAGGGACGGGAGAGGGAGGAAAGAAGGAGAGAGGGCAGGAAGAGACAGATGCAGAATGAGTTAATGAGAGGATTCAGAGGAAGCAGGGTGTTAAAAAAGGTCCCATGAAATGAACAACGTATTCAACGCGTGTCACTGAATGCATCTTGTTCTTATGTCAACTGTTTTTTTTTTTTGCATATCTTTCAATAAAAATCTCAATTTTTGCAGGAGCGCAGTGGCTGCGGTCTTTGTCCTGGATACTTTTCAGTAAAAATTCAAATTTGATCCCTCCTAATGTCAAATCCCACCCGAACAGTTTATACGGACATGCATCCAGCAAAAGAACAAAATTCTTATCTCAAAGTCATTTCATGGAACCCGTAAGGCAGTGTCCGGTGAGACTGCAGATAGAAAGAACACCGAAGGCCAAAGCAGAATCAAGCCAGACCACATGCAACTGGCAGTCCACCACATACAGCAGTGTTTTGACCCAGAAAGACATTAACAACACACCAACCAGCGAAGCACAACCACGACACACCCGGCGATACCTTATGGGCAAAGAGGGGCGTGAAATTGTACATGGGCTTCAAACTCCATGCTTCAACTTAAAATCTCTGTACAATTCTGGTGTTCAAGATGTCGCCCCTTTTAAATGACTACCCTCCATGTTTATGGTTGTGCTTGGTTGCTGCTGGTCTTGGTCATAAACTCTTACCATACGCAGGGTATTCAGCAGGGCTAGTTCCCGGATAGAAGCCTGCTGTAGCGCTGGTCACAGGATACTGCTGAGTAGGAGGCATGTATGGGGTCCGGTACTACAGAGACAAAATAAAGAGTCAGAGACGACGACAATAAATGGGACAATTAAGTTGATAGAGCGTCCGGTCAATCACAGTAACGAACTGTTTTGGCCCCAAAAAAAGACGAGACCCCTTTTCTAAAACCTGTTTTTGGAAGATAAGAAACTCACACATTTGCGTAGCTCATCTAAATTTGCTTTCAAACGCATCTAATTCTTCATTGTGTGCATCAGTCACATGCTCACACACTCTCCCATCAGGCTCTTGGAAGCAGACAGATTGAGCTTCCCAATAGGACTTTCTGTGACACGGGGAATTCTTGGCTGCTTGACAGATGAGTCGGCCCCCAATCTGGAAATTGCTTTTGACTCATTTATATTTTCATAAAAATGTAATTTCTCCGTGGCAGCAAAAACCAGCTACATGAGCTATCAGGAAACTCCAGTTGGGCTTCCTAAACAATTTCAAATAACGCTCACTCTGTAGGAGCCATTACTCTCTCCTATTCAAACTGTTATTAACATGTCGCAGACCTTGACCCCCACTTGTATATAAAAGATCCTCTTGTATTCGGGCCAGTGCGTTAATATGATGAGCATATACTCCGTATCATTTCGGCAGGTTACTGGAAAGCCCAGTTGTATGCGTGTCGTTTTAACAAATGGGTCATTACTAATGTGAACCAACCTGTCCAGGGGGGATGAAGTAACCCTGAGGGGAGCCAGCAAAAGACAGCTGCTGCTGGGATATCATCATCATCTGGGAGCTGGGCGGGTAGACGTGAGTGGGTCCGACAGGTCGCGGGCCGCTACTCGTCTGTACCCTTGGAGCGCTGGTGGCCATGGCTGGTCGGTTCTGATAGTAACTCTAGAGAATAGACGCGGGAGGAAGAAGGATGAAGAGTTTATCACAGCGCAAGCCAACCTGTTGCTCTGTGTGTGCATTTAGTGTCCTAACTAGGGTGGTGGTCCTAACCCATGTGTTGTGCTCGTGTGTCCTGTCGCACACATTCCTAACCTCAGCTGGAAGCACGCACAGCAACTGCCAAAGTGTACAGCAAGTTCAGTTTTTGGGTTACAACCGAGTCTAAATTGTACTGACTGTCATGTCTCCCTGCTACACCGAGGTTAGCCCAAGGTAAGGGAGCGGGGGGGAGACGGACGAAGAGAAAGGCTGTTACCTGTAATGCTCTGTATCCACCCTTCAGCCGCGCAACACATGAGCAGAGAGCAAGAGAGGGAGTGAGATTAAGGTGAAAATGAAGACAAGCGACAATGTGGAAGGTTGAGATCACAAGGTTTAAGAAGGAAGAGTATGAGAGGCAGCAGCAAAATATCTCAGCCATGAACAAGTAAGCAACCACATGCAAATCTGTACTGGTCGGCAAGTTACATCTCCTACAAGTCCTGCTGGTCCCAGTTTTGAGTTATTTAAGAATGACTTTGAGGGCAATGAAACTATGTTAGCATGCTGCGGGTCCTTAAATCAATTTACTTTAACATTAAATAGTTATGTGCAGGAAAAATAAAGAATAAATAAGGCCTGGGTGAACTCTGCTATTAAAACATTGTGACAACAACTTGAAAAATATGCATTTCTAGAATGAAATATAGAACTCAATGTTACTGGACCTCGGGAAGAGTGACCTCATCTAATAAACACTACAGCGTTCTCATCCAACTGTCCAACATGTGGAACTGAAAGCATGCATTACACTAAGGAGACAGTGGGGATGTAAGGGGTGTTAGTACCTGTTGGTGTAAAGTACGGGGGCCTGCAGCAAACTGGGAGGACAGCAGAAGAGAGGAAAGAAGTCAAGATTGACATTCAAGGAGAAACCACAAAGATTTAGCCAAAGCCTTGTAGCAGAAGAAGCCGTGTCAGAAGTCTTTGTGAAAGAGTAGGAATGGGAAGGTTCCCATACAAGGTCAAATATACCACACTTTGGACACTGAATGCAAAAACTTTAGCAGAACAGGCACAAAAACAGGTGATGAATTTTACCTGTCTTGGCTGTGGTGCAGAGTTCATTTGTGGAGGTGGAGGGGTCGCAAAAACAAGAGAGGGGGGCTGGCCAGGACCATAGGCGGCCTTTGAAAGGAGAGAACGGAGGAAAAATAGATGTTACCAAACCCTTAATCTAACAAAACAACTTAAATTCTACAAGGTCAACTGCTCTCACCTGTGTCAATCCAGGGGATGGGGAAGGGTTAGGGACAGACGTAGGTCCCGTTATAGGCTGTGGTGGTTTGTTCATTTCACGTTCTTTTATGGTTCTGCATTAGGGTGGCCTTGTGTTGCCAGCCTTTCTGAGGAACAAGAAATATAAAAAAAAGATGAACAATTAGGCATAGTCATCAAGTGTTAAAGAAAGACATTGAGAGGAAATTGCTTTCAGTTCAGAGTTATTATCTACATATGATAATTGCAGTCACACAGGTTAGATATTACTCAACACAGTAAGACATGAACCTCAAGTGTGGCATCATTCAACCAACAGTGAGGGTGTGGTCTGTGGTTTCGCCTATGATAACGCCACCTCCTCCCAAAAAGGTTGGTTACTTGCATATTGCATGGTAAGATCATCTGCGGATTCCTTGCTCAATCAGATAGCAATGGATTCCACCCAAAACTAACTGACTAGAAAAGGGGTCATGCTGGCTAATATTAAATCTTTGAAAACAGGGACTTTACAAAAAAAAAACACACACATTCCTAAATGATCATGCCTGAACAAAATGTGTCTGCCACCAAATCACTTGGACTAGTCTGGTATCTAGTGAATTTAAGAAAATGGATACCTCGGGTCAAAGTTCATGTACTGTGTTAACAGTGGCTCCCATGCACCCTGTTCATGCTAGCTACATGTGCACATAGTCCACTCAAATTACGTCACATCGATATCCGTTTCAAAACCGAAAGCAGTTTTCTCATGAATATTAATTACGGCTGTATATATGCTGGGATAACAAGACATACAGGAATTAATCAAATCTGATGAGAATCACTAGCAGACGTGTCATCCACCTGCTGCCACAGGAACTGTCGCTAGCTGCTAGCTTACGCCATGCTTCTTTTAGACAGGGCATTAACGTACTAACCTACCATATGGTTCTGTCAGCAGAGATGGCTACCGGTATTATGAACTGTCATTAAATGTGACAGCTAGTCTCGGAAAATGTCCCCACTGTGTCGTAGTCAAGTTAAAGGATGAAAGGACATTTTACTGGCCCGCTAACAAGGCAGCACTCCGGGCCGAAGCAGGTTAGATTCGTTAGCCAACTAGCCGGCTAACACTAACGTTACGTGTCCCACTACCAGAGACATTTTGCATAGTTACGCTACGTGGCTGAACGTTGAGTCCACATTTAACTCTAAAGTACATAGAGCTCAGTTTGATGGTTTTACTGTGCCAAAGGACAACATGTTGACTCATCGACACTCGAGAACAGCAAATAAGCCGGTCCTAGCCATAACGTTGCAACACTTGAAAGCGATTAGGTTACAGTGAAGCTAATGTCGGATAACAGCCCAGCCCTGTCCTGTCCTACGAGGTGGATTTAATTACAGGCCCAGCCAGATCCGCGAGCAGATGAAACCATCAACCTGACATCAAGCTTGAGCCAATATCATGATCACAAAACAAATGACATCAGGTTTTCTGTCAAACCATTACAATCATCACGTCAGCTCTAAACCGGCGAAAATCGTCTTTAAACCACAGTAAGCGTCAGAGCTAGCTAGCGTTAACACACGAAGCATTCGTGGTAACGGTAACCAATTGAAGATTAGCCACGAGAGCGAGGGACCTGTCATTTCAGCTAACGTTAGCCACGCAGCTACAAATAATGCCACAATATTAAGTACCTACCTTTTCACTAACGTTAAGACATTCCGATGTATTTGATTTCATATATTTTAGCATTTTGGGGAAGATTAGCAAGCTAGCTATGGGCACTGACAGCCAGTAGGGCCTGTTCAACCAGCTAGCATTAGCTAGCTAGCCTGAATGCCTTTGACGAAAATGAAGCCAAGCTCGGGTGTACTTCAAGCTATTATTTCTACCGTCAGATGGTTTTATTCTTACCAGGAATCAATACAGAGTATGTTGGGAACTCGGGAAATCAGCCTCTGGTCAGTCTTCTGTTACTGGAAGTAGTGGTGTTGTAGTTTCCTTGTCCTTTACTCCAAAAGAAAAGTGATGCCCTTCTTGGCTATTGACTTAGCGAGCTAGCTAGCTAGCTGACCGGCAGATGGGGTGAGTGCTACTACTGTCACTTCGGTTTAAATCCCCGGGCGTGCAAAAGTGACAGTGCTCAAAATCAAATAATATAGTAATTCGGGAGCACTAATGACAATTCCGATGGCCCCGAAAAAAGCCTCTGGACCGGAGGTCCATGATCAAGGCGTCGATGGTGACGGATTGCCGGTAAGGTATGTACACAACTGTCGCATCAGGAGGCTCAGAGTGAGGCCATAATGCGATGTTTCTGGTGTATGGAGCCGGTGCGCCTCGAAGTCGCATGGGTAACTTCCGGGAGAATTACATTTTGATGCCGTTTCCTTGGTCATGTGATACAGGAGCTGGAATCAATTCATCAACCCTTGCCTCTTAATCTGCTTTTCAAAGTACAATATAATATATTATATCTCACAAACGTACTCATATCATGCATTTCACAAAGCCTGTAGTGGTACTAGTCCAACATTACGAATTAAGTCCTTCACAACCTCAGAGTCTACTGAAAAGGACAAGTTACCATTTGATTAGTGTTAAAGTCTTTCCTTAATCATATTGTCAAGTATGATGTAGCTAATGAAATACATAAATAAAGATGTTGTACTCTGCTTTTATCTGATGACTGCTCATTTGCACCCATGATTAATGGATAGGGGGATATTGGCATTACAATTATTTTCATTATCGACTAATCTGACAGTTATTTTCCGTACGAATTGCTTAATCGTTTTTTTCCCCGTTAAATGTAAGAAAATGGTAAAAATATAATTTCTCAAAGCTCAAGGTTACATATTGAAATGACTTGTAGTTTCAACAAACAGTAATTATCTCACAAATATTAAATCAACTATTAGATATGACTAGAAAGGTAGAAGCTTCACACATCTGAGAAGCTGGAACAATAAAATGTTCCTGATTTTTACTTGGAAAATGACAGAGAAGATGAATTGATTATCAAACAAATTGACTGATTCATTTTCTGAAAATGTGTTTGGGCATTGAATTGAATTTAATATCACAAACAGGCGGTCAATAAAGGCCCAAAGTTAATTTTTAACCTCATAGCGGGCTTGTTTGGCCATGCCAACATCAGCCAACAGGAATGTGTTTGTCTATTACCTAAGTGTTGACATAAATGATCCAGACGGGCTCCATGTACTTTGAAAACTCTTCCAGTAATACACCATTTCATGTCTGTTAATGACCAGATATCTACATGATTTTTGATTGGGGTGAGCTCTTTTGGAGACTTTTTAGAGTACCCCAAAAGCACAATGGCCCATATTATTATAACAGACACCCTTCTCATCCAAAAAATTTTTTGATGAATTCCTTTCTGAAGTCTGTGTAAATGCAGCTGGAGGTGCAGACGGAATGAAAGGGGCTGCTGGAATGGAAGAATGACTTCACTTACAGGTACAATTGTTACGATTATAATTATAGTGGTTATTTGGTGATAAGAAATGTTGTATTGCATCTCTTATACAGTACCAGTTATAATGTTTATCAAGCCCATGTACTTTTTGTATCAGTCCATTTGTACCCCAGGAGTGTTTTACAACAAAGCTTTAAAGTTACATTACAGCCAATAAGCCGCAGTATTTGTTCTTGACTGTTTTTGGCATTGGAAGCAAAGTTGATAAGATTGTCCATTTTATGTACAACTGTGTACTTTTTAGTGATATTTAAGGAAATCCTTAACATTACACTATTACAAAAACGAACCACTGTCACCAAAAAAGAGCATTAAAAAGGCTTTATTTGAGAAAAGTCAGGCACGCGTTAACAAAACATAGTTGATCCCATAACACAGGTAATGTAACAGTATGTTTCAACAGCATGAAAATAGCTAGATGTGGACATGATTGGTCACAGGACAGTTGATTTGTAAGTAATGGTAGTGCAATGTATCTGTTTGTTGGTTGTTCTTCTAAAAACAGGTCTACAACAAGATCGGTAAGAAAATACACATGGCAATTTTGGGGTTGAGTGTGGTAAAGGTGCCCGAATCATGGAGGGCTGAGTGAGGCACCACATGCTCCGTGGTTGTCACTAGTTTTTTTCCTGGCAGGAATGGAAAGTGCAAGATTTCTCCAGATCTGTTGGGAACAGAAAAAGACAAAAAAAATGTTACAGACACATATTTAGGCTGTATGTCATGTGTCTTTGATACAGAGGTACACTTTCTAAGTTGATCTCTATACTGTCACGTTACTCTTGATTTGACCAACAGTTGTACAAACCTGGAGTGGTTTCAGTGCACTGTCTGAGCGAATCCATGGCAGCCATGTACCCCTTTCCCAAAAACGTGTCATAGTTTGTTCCAGTGGCAACCGCCTGGAGACACTTAGTGGAGTCCTTGAAGAGGAGGTTGTTTCCTGGGTCTGACTTGAACAAGCTGAATGAGTCATCAGTGACACTGGCACCAAATCTGGTCTGTGAAGAGAAATAAAAGGAAGATTTAAATTAGTCCTTTGATCTAGTAATTTAGACATCCATATCAAGGCCGGAAAAAACAGGGGTTTAGGGTAAAACATGCTGTTGAAAGTGAGGAAAACACCTGTAAAATGAAAAACAAGTGTGCAAAAATGCCCTTTTTTGACTCTTACTCTTCTACTCTTTTACCCGGTATTTTATGCCTCATCACTGACCTGCTGTGCCGAGAGAATGTTAACAACCTCGTCGCGGCTCTCTGGACGAGTCACCACAGTGTGGGCGGGCACAACAGCCAGGTGACAAGATGCATAATCGGTGACTGCCGCCGGACTCTTCACTGGGCAGATCAGCTGGTAGTCGTCCTGGTTGACTTTAACAAGAAGAGTAGCAAGAATTTTATAGTTTTATACGAAACGAAACATGCGCAGTTTAGATGTAAACAGGTCAGTGTCAGCCTCTTACCTTCACTGTTTTCTAGAATGGTTGTGTGTTTGATGAAGGCAACATCGCCGGCATTGGCAATCAGACATCTATAATGATATGAAAAACATAACTTGGGCAATATGAAGATGGGGTTTCCACCCTGATCAGGGTGAACTGGAAGAGTAATTAGAGGAATAGTTTGCCATCTTTGGAAATACATGTATTTGCTTTGTCAGATGAGAACATTGATACCACTTTCATGTCGGAGTGCTGAGTAAAGAGCTGGAGTTGGAAGGCAGTTAGGTTAGCTTAGCCTAGCATAAAGACTGACGCAGGGGGAAACAGTTAACCTGGCTCTCTTCAAAAGTTAGAAAATAGGCCTGAAATAACAATGTATCTTGTTTATTTAAGCCAAAGGGAAATCTAAGTGTAAAAACAATTTTTGGGGGTTTAAGGGGAAGTTTGCACCTTTACTATTTCTTGAAAGTCCCCCTAAAACCACAAATTGCCATTTTTACATGTTAGTCAAACAAATCAGATACAGATAATTAGTGAGTTTTAAAACCGCTGGTAGAACTTTGGAGAGAGCCATGTGCGCATTTCCCGAAGTGTCAAACTATTCTTTGAACATATGCGCATGTAAAATTGCACTGTTGCGTCCTACCTCAAGGCTCCAGCGTAGCCGTAGTACTGCTCCTCAGAACTGGCTTTGCACTTGAACTCATCTCCCACGGCTTTGCCGCTGCCGGCGCACTGAGAACAGAACGAAGAGCTGGGGTCTGCTCCGGGAGCACAGCCGCTATGGAAGAAATTGGCTGAGGAGAGGAGGGGATAGAATGTGTTGGTGTTACACTCAGTGTGTGGAAAAGGCAACCATGTCTGCTAAAAATATATTGCTACACGAAGGAATAATGATTTTCTTGTTAAATATTTCTTTACTTAAACCTTACCAAGTGCTTTGAGTTGCCTAAACATGCTGCAACCATGAAAGAATGGTGCTGCTACAAGTGGACTTTGTAATAAAATATGTAAACATTTTGCAAATTTGCATACTGTGCGGTCACTGAAACATTTCCTCGTATGGTTGATAGGAAACGTAATCTTGGCGGCATTGCGTTTCTTTCTTCACATATTTGCGATTTTTCAAGAGAAGATGAACACAGTCACTTACTGAAGTTACAGTTACCGATCTGTTTGTGTATTTGACCCATGGGGATGTTCCAGCCAGCAGTTCTGCCGATGCCTGTGTGGCAAGACCTCTTGCCCTTCAGGGTTTCCCAGGTCAACCCTGAACTCTTCTTTACCACAGCAACAGCATAGTAAGAGGAGGCTGTGGCTACAAGAGTGAAAGTACAGAAGGATGGGAATCGAAAAACGATCCGTCGGACAGTTATCAGTATTCATTTATTTCATTTAAATTCTTAAAGCTGTGAGATGCACACACATTTTCTGCTTCGTAATTTACAAATAATAATCAGCGTTACTTGAGAAATACAGTGTTCCATTGTTACACTTTCATATTAATCAATTCCATGTAAACTGTTAGCATAATCTAGAAAGTATTTTAGCCAGTGCACAGCAGGTGAGCTGAACATGCCAAAATGTGAAGTCTGTGTACAGTGAAGCATACAACTCAAAATATATGGAGAATAAAGTGTCCATTATTAATTATTTAATTAAATTAAAATGGAATTAAAATTCCTATTTTCCTCATAATAAGCATCAAATTACTTCGCTCTTTTTCAGAAAACTTCCCCAGAAATTATTCCGAAATGAACACATAAACATCAAAGTGATATCAACTCGATGTTGTCTAGGATTTTTGCTATTGTCATATAGTCACATAGATGAAATGTTTTCTTTTGATGGTCCTCAAGGCTGCATTACAGCCAAATCACACACTTGTCTAACCTACTTTCTAAGTACTAAACATATGTTGTTTTGTTTTAATGTAGGTGATATCTTAACATTTGATTTAGTCTGTAATTACCTCCAGTGGTGGCGGTGCACAGCGCTGTGGAGAGAGACAGAGATTCAAATATTGCTCATGTAGAAAAGGTGAAATACATTGTGTGGCATGGGGTCTGTGCTATCTAAGCCTCCCACCTTCGTCGTACTGCTCCACCATAACAGGAACCAGACCACACTTCCCAGCGGTGTACACCTGTCCTCCATCCACTGCCATTGCGTCAGCCTCTTTATGCTACAGGATAACAGAGAGATAACAGATAATCAGAGACAAATGCCACAAAACTGAACAAAGAGAAATCTCAAGGTTGTGACGGAAGACTGTTTTACCATAATCTTTTTCAGGCACTCTTCAACTGTGGGGGCATTCTGGCACTCAATGGCGGTGTTGGCATTATCCACACTATTGATGCTCCACGTGTCGCACTTGCTCGTCTCAGCGCGGCCCACGGCACACCATTTAATGGCAGTGGATGTGGTGCCTGTCGGCTCTGGAGAGTGAAGTACAACCATTAACCAGGGTCTGCAGTCTAATAATTGAGTTTGCTCAAAGATTAATATGTATGTTTTTATCTGCTTCTGTTAAAAGTACCTTTCTTAAGGGAACGGATGACGCTCATGTATCCAGCACCCAAATACAGGAAGGAATCAATGTTTGTGGGCAGCTGCACCAGCTTCACTGTTGAGTCTTTGAACATCAGGTTTTTGGAAGGTGCATAGGCTTCAGAGGAGAAGAGGTTAAATTCCTGAAAAGACAAAAAAGTTAGTTCACTCATGATGTAAGCCCACAAGTTACATGTTTAAATGAATCACTTTATATCGAGATTTACAGTGTTTCTCAACGGTGCCACTCACTCTTTGCGCAGTACAAATATTTAGTATCATACCTGAACTGAATTGAGGCTAGTCCAGATTAATTCAGCCAGCTGTGGGTCCTTGCGGCTGACAACAGCATGAGCTGGTACTTTGGCCAGGTGGCAGCTTTTATAGTTGTCAATGGGCAATCTGGTGTTATCTTTACACAGCAGCTCGTAGTTGGCCTTCTCCGCATCTGAAAGTGTGCCACAGTAATAAAACAAAAGTTCTTACAATCTTCCATTTCTAAATAATCATTTGACCCATCTTCTCGCTAGCACATTTTGTTAAGTCAAAGTCTATGGTTCATCAAAGGAGTACTTTGTTTATAGATATTTTTGGCAAATGACACAAATATTGTATTAGTTGTGGCAATTATCACCAAGAGTGAGAATCTGAGCTGTGATGTTGAATAAAGGTGTAATACAACAGTAAAACAGCCTCATATGAGTATGATACAGGCTTATATTTTGCAAATATATATATATATATATATATATATATATATTTATATATATATATTATATATAATAAATAGTTACAGAGTGATCCACTTACAACAGATAATTGGCTTGGTTTTAAGATGGACAGAATATATGATATATATCCATTTGAACAATGAAGATGGGGAAGTGCTTCCTTGGTTTTCCTCCCTTTGTCTTCTTAATCATGTCATTTACATAAAAAGCTGCTCTCCATAATATCCAGTGAATGTGATTTATACGTCATGATGCCCGACAAAAGGGCTGTTGCTTGCTTTGTTGTAATTGAGAAATATAAAAACATCTAATTTAATAAAAATGATATGGTATATTATCTAATGAAATGTAAAAGCCATGAAGATTAGGGCATTTAACTAGTCTCATACTGCAGATTTGAAACAACAGACCAGTTTACATTACATTACTATGAGTCCATGATTCATATTAGAATAGATGACTGTGTGATACTGACCTGGTACAGTGAGGTGCTTCACAAAAGCCACGTCTCCTGCGCCGTCCTTCAGGCACCTATTAAGAAGACCAGTCGACAGGTACATCAACATTAGTGGTTTGTTTGATACCAACAGTATAGTGTATTTCCACTGGGTTGAAGAAGGCATCGGATTAGATTCAAATGTCACAGGATGGATCTGTGGTCATATTTGGAAGATACATGTGCAGAGGTTGATAGAGGACAGTAAAAGCCGTAGCAGAACTGAGAAGGATCACAGATCAGAGACTAATACTGACTGGAAGGCTCCGCTGTAGTCGTAGTAAGGCTCACTGTAGGACTTGGAGCAGTCGCCAGTGCACAGTTCACATAGTTTGCTGCTCCTTGTTGCCCCCGGGGCACAGCTGGAATGGAAGTAGTTGCTCACCGCTGCAAAACAAAAAGCCGATCCGTGGCAAAGATTTTAGAAACAGTAAGTTAAAGTTAGTCCCAGTCCCTGTAAAGCAGCTCCACCACCCACAACGTTAAGACAGACTGACCAGAATCCATAAATAAAGTCTCAATATTGCTTTTTATTATTTGGATCTTTCCTACTTATTAGTCAACTGCTCTTTTGCCAACATGAAGCTGTTTTAAATAACATAATATTTGAGTTGGCGTTAAAGTAAAGGCCAAGAAAACGTTATTATATTAAAGGAATAGTATGCCATTTTGGGAAATGGGATTACTAGCTTTACTAATTGTTATTTTCAACTGTTTATCCTTTGACACAGCTAATGCCCACATTTCACGCCGTGATCAGCGGTGACATGTACACGTAGTAACTTCTATTTGAGGATTGTGCTTAACGTTTAGTGTAACTTACCCTCCTCAACAGGTCGGTCTTCAACGCCTTCCCACTGAATCAAATTCAAGGACACCAGAGTTCCTATGGGGATGTTCCAGCCTGCAGATTTCCCCAACCCAGTGTGGCAGGATTTCTTCCCCCGGAGTTCATTAAACTTAAATGTAGTGCCCTTCTTCACCACAGCAACAGCGTAGTAACAGGTCGCCGAAGCTGGATGTATGCAGAACAATTGGGAGCGAAACGTTAAAACATGTAGCTCATTTAAAATGCTATAAGAAATCCTCTCTCGTGGCCAGTAAAGACAGCTGATTAGTGAACATACAGATGCCGTAGTCCTCAGCAATAATGGGCTGCAGGTCGTAGTTGTTCAGTCCAGCAGTGTAGATGTCTCCTCCATCCAAAGTGATGGCATCTGCCTCACCAGCCTGATGGAAAAAAACAAACTGTCATCAACCAGCAACACGATGTTTCATTTCTCCTGCAGCTCAAAGGCATGTGACGAATGGTGCCATGCATATTTTCTTCACAGCTAAATGCAGAGGTGCAAAGTATCACACCTATTTAAGCACTTGTACTTTGTTGCAAAGGTGAGATATGGGTAATTATCTTCAATGCTTCAATTCAATGCTACTTTATTCTTATTCCACTACATTTCAGGGGGAAATATTGTACTTTTTTTGCCGTTCTACATTTCTTTGATGGCTGCTGTTAACAGGTATTTCTCATATCTACAACATGCTACAAACAAAACATATGATCAATGTCTAAAATGAAATGCAGCGTTGAAGGTTAAATTACCAAATAAAGCAGTTATCTCCACCTCAACCAGCTATAATATGTTCAGCTGCAGCTTACTTATAAATGCATCACACATAAGGATAACAATCTTAAATATTGCATAATAAGTATTTTTACTGTTGATACTAATAATAATGCGCTTGTTTGTATTCATTTTGGATTCTTTTCTCATTGTGGAAGTGGAATAAACTAACATTTACTCAAGTACTGAACAATTTTCAGGTACTTGTACTTTACTTGAGTAATTCCATTTTATCCACATTAGGTTTTCAGAGGGAAATATTGTACTTTTTACTCCATTACTTTTTTCCGACAGCTATAATAAAAATATATTATAATATAAATTTGTCATAATATGTTCATGTTCAACATAAACATGATGCACTATGATTGCTAGAAGTAGTCAACCCTTTGTAAAGTACTCAAAAATAGCTCTATGACCTGTTAGAAGATTAAAAGGTTGTTTACACATTATTTCATCAATAATAGGCTAATAATATAAATAATCTAACAGTATATTAATGTAACATTAGGGGCCAGCCTGCATATAGTGTATACTTCTATTACTGATACTTCAAGTATATTATGCTAGTAACACTTCTGTACTTATTTACTCATTAAGATTTTGATTAATGCACAAGCTTGATGAAAAATCAAACCGTAGACAGAGATGTGAAGAATCATTTTGTGATGAGCACATTTCATTGAGCGCGTGCTCTGGGTGATGTTGCTCTCCTCACCCTAATTGCAACGATGCAGTTGATGGTGTTGTCCCTCTTCACGCAGGAGAACGCCGATGCTTTCTTTTCAAGGGCCAAACATTTCTGAAGTTCTTTGTCCGACGTGACGCACCATTTCACCTTGTTGGCGGGGGCCGCGAACACGGCAGCTGCAAATGCAGATGGAAAAAATAAACAATGAATATGTGCTTTAAAACGTTAAAACATGCCCGTGGAACAATATGAAATGTGCTTACCGAGGCATCCGAACAGCGCCACAAGGAGGAGAGTCTGCATGTTGGACGGCGGGGTCTCAGGTCAGCAGAGCAGGCTGTCCGGGAGGCAGCGCGAGCTTTTATAGCAAACCTCTGACTGCGCTGGGGGGGAAAAAAAGAAAAGAAAAAACTTTGCTCAGGTTTCCTAATTTGTGCGTGCGTGTGTACTTTAGTGCGCTGGTCCATGAAACAGAGATTAGGCTACATATCCCAAATGTCCACATAATGGAAATTCACAGACTCCCCATTTGAAACTCCTTTGAAACTCTGAAATCTCGCAGAGGACCAGAAAAAAAAGTTAAATATGCCACAAAGTAAGAGGTAATTTATGATTAAAAACATGATAACATATTGCCAACTCATTCAAACTATGTTCTACTTTCTGATTTCATAGTAGTGTAACTTATTTCAGTTCATTGTTTTAACTCTGTTTATCACATTTTTTTATTTTGGTGTGTTCACGTGCTTTGGGTTTTATTCGGAGACTTTGTTCAGATACTTTACTTTAGTAAAAGTATAGTAACTGTTAAAAATAAAAACAATCCAATACAAGGAAAAGTCCTGCGTTCAGAATATCAGTTCAGTATAATCCGTCAGATTTACTTCAAGTATCAAAAGTATGTCACAGAAGGACTACTCATTGTTTATTAAAGTATTTTACAGAGAAACGCTGCAGTGACCCACATGTGTTTACAGAGTCAATGTTGCCCAACACAAGAGCAAAGGTTCATTTTTTTTAAAATTGATCCATCTTTGTTCCTGTACACCAAATATTTAAATATCACACAATAGCTTTCACAATAGATTGCATGTTTCACAAGAGGCCTTTGGTGGCACAACTTTGGAATATCCAAGATGGGATACTATAGACGAGTGGATCGGTTATGTTTTTACTGTGAGGACATTACTGTATTTTAACCATCATATCCTCATCTTTTTATCCCTTTTCTTTAAGAAGAGGGCTTTGTGTGGCATGTGTCAAGAAGCCAATTTGATATTTCTGGAGTAAGAGGACAAAGTATATATTAATGTATTGCAAAATAATTACATTTACCAGAGCCCTGTCTGGTAATCCTGCCTCCAGAGCCGAACTCTTTGTGAGTCATAACTAATAGAAGCGACACTAAGATGTTCACAAGGTTTCTTTTTTTAAATGAATGTTCACAACTTCCTTGTCTCTCCCTCTCTGTCCATCTCTTTTACCTGCTGCTTTGTACTTATTCTCTGTTCTTCTTTACATTTGTGATTTATTTATGTGCTATATGCACACTTGTGTAAACTAACAGTGTCTTATGAAAATACTTTTCCAAGTCAATGGGATTTACCAAAGGAAATAAATCAGTAGTATACAAAAGTACAAATGAGATTCAGCTGTAGCAGAAGAAATGCAGATGCAGATATATCAGTGACTATGAAATGACTAAGATTTTTCCTGTCAAGCAAATATTTGAACACAAAGCCTGAGTGGATTTTTCAGCAATAAAATGGGCCACTTCATGAATACTGTGCGTACGTTTCTGTTCTGTAGGGAAAGTGGCATAAACAGGGCCCTCCAGATGAACGATGCAGCTGCACTTAAGTTCATGAATGTGACTGACGCTGAGCTTAAATACCGCTGAGGTGAAACCTGTCAACATGTGGACAATGGATTAAATCAGTGGTTACATTTTGTGAAGCATGCAGCTTATCAGGAGAACCAATGACATTAATATTCAGAGGATATAAACGTTGTTTATAGTGTGCATTATACAGGTTAACAGTCAAATAACACAGCCAAACCAGTGATCATCTTCAGTCTTTCAAAAGAGATACTTTTAGATATGAAAACTGTAGCGTCATGCAACCACACTATATCTACGTTATATTCAGGTTTTGGTCAAGCTACAGGTGGTAGGAAGCGTATATAGATATAGAGGGAGCACAGGTAATACAAAGCAGTTTAGTTTGAGGTTGTGATAGAGAATTTTCTCTGTGCTAGTACATTTGTACTTAGTTTATGTGCCTTACTCACCAACAAAACTATATATGTGACATATGAGAGTGGTAACAGGAGCATATGGGTTATCTCTGCCTTTTGCTTTGATAAGAGGATGTAACTGAATGGGGTTGCAGTTTAACCAGAGACTGTTTAGCTGTGAAGATTCCCAGGGCTAATCAAGGGTAATAAAGACAGATCTCTTTGTGTCACAAGGCTCAGAAGAGGAAGGGGGCGACTGGAGGGGTCAATGGGGAGCTTGAAACTGCTGATCAGTTGTTATACTGTAAATACCTGATGTTCCCTGTGCTGAGATGTCAGAAACTGAACTCTTGGGTCTTCCTCTGCAGACTGAACTGCAGTCTGTATGATGGTGGAGCCTTCTCTGGCCAGAGAATAAATACTTTAAAGACAAACTTCTTTCCTCAATGTTCCTTGTTTCAGTATTCATTAATTATTATTAATTAGTATTATTATAGGACTCACTCGGTACTATTGAATAGTTTTTTTCCACCACAAGGTATTCTATGTCTGCTGGAGTGATTGGGAAAGTGCATTCAAATGTTTTTCAAAAAGGGAATCAGCACATTACACAATGTTTTCTTGCAAAAATTCAATGTTGATCAGGTGCCCGTGAAGTGCCTTTTGTACTGAATCCTTGCAGGCTGTGTCCTGACCTCCCTCAAACCCTAGCTCTGAGATAAACCTGGCACTGAGTATACATAAACCTTCTTTCCACACGAGTGACTAAATCAGCAACTAAAAAACTAACAATATAACAGATCCTTGATTTCAAGGTCTAGTGTCGGAACATGTTTACTGTGACAATGAGCCAGTGGTTCATTTCATGTAAGACTGAAAACAATGAAATGGGATAAAAGTGTTACATTCCCCACCTGTCCACCAGTTTCCCACCGTAGCTCATCATGTGACTGTTTTCCCCCCTTGAAACCTGTTTTCTATCATATATCAGACCTAGTATCCTCCTCAACCAGCATTCCCCTCTTTATCAGATCTGTCTATGTTGCCTTGAATTATTTCTGACCCAGTGTTTGCCCTCTTGCCTCATAGCCACTGGTTTTGTCTGCTCTCTGGCAGATTTAAGACTCCCTCATTATCTGCCTTGTGAGTCGGGCTTTGAGTCTTTATCCCTGTGACAGTTTCCTGAACCCTCGCAGATTACCGTGCCTTTGTCAGTCTGTGCTGACACTTCACTCAGCAGCACTGCTGTAGTGACACCTCTTGATAACGCAGCCGGCAAGTCAATGACATGGCTGTCCCGTATAGCACAAGTAGACATTTAACGCATGTTTTATCTATACAAAAAAAAAATTCAATCATGGTTTTTTATTCCACTCTTGTACTGTTTCTGTTCAAGTGAGCAGAATTTCTACTGGAGGCTAAGTGAAGGATACAAGTTTTAGAAAACCACATGATATGAATATTCAGGGCTATTAAGCAACAACTTTTAATATATATTTATATATACATTTAACATTTTTCCAACCCATATTCCTGAAATACCTCTGGGATTCTTGTGTCTGACTGACGGGGATTACGGTCCACAAGGCCGTCCTGACCGTGCTAAATCAGAGCGGATAAGCTTATTATCAATGATTGTTCTGCATACAGGGCAGGGGGTTAATAAGGCATTATAGATTGGACACTACACACACATCTTCAGTCTGTGACGCCGGGCTCTGGGGCTCTGGTACATAAGCAACTGCCTCTTTATATGAACTGAATATATTGTTTAAAATATTGGTAAACTACTACATGAAAGAAAAGTGTTTCCAAAGGGAAGGGGTTGTGTATTTTGCAGTTGAGTAAGATGTAAAAGTCGAGTGCAGGAGTGAGCCGTGACATTTTGTTCAGCCGGTGATGATTCATCTCGACACCCACACATGATGATAAGACTCTTGATCAGCGCATTTAAAAACAGTTTCTGGGGGAAAGAAACACACACATCTGGCTGATTAATCAGGAAACAGAGATAGTTGGTCCCAGTTGTTTATGATGGTATCATGTCATTCCCAGTGATGGCAGACATTTTGACTTATCGTGGCAGGAAAATGTTAACGGTGTCCCAATAAGCCAGCATGCACAACACCAGGACCTCCCCGAAGTGGAATGCACCCCTCATTAATGTTAGTAAATACACCTGTGTTTTTCCTGCTATGACATGTCACAATGTCTGCAATGAAAAATGTCTATGGTGAGCTTTTACCACACCTGTGCACTGGTAGCAAAAGTACTCAGACACTTTCTTTCAGTATAAAGTACTAATACACAGTGAAAAATACTCCATTTCAAGTAAAAGTCCTGTATTCAAAAATCCCACTTAAATAAAAGCGTATTATCAACAAAATGTACTTAAAGTCATAAATCATAAATAAAAGAACTGGTTCTGCGGAAAAATGTAATATAATAAAATATGATATATCATGATAATATTTGAATATTAACACATGGGTGCAAAAGTAGCATGTTGCCATTGTAGCTGGTGGAGCTAGTTTAGTAGTTTAGTCCAGTGGTAACTAATCAGGGGGTCGGCCCCCCCTCCAAATGGTCACAAGATAAATGTGAGGGGTCGCGAGTTGAATAATGGAGAACAAAAGATGAAACACCCCTAAATTCTGCCACATTGTTGCTTTTTTTTAATGAAAAAGTGGACCGCTTGACCGCTTTGGACATTAAACAATGAAAGAAGTTTGAGTCTCTCTTTGGTGGAATCACTCATAGACACAGCTTGTTCTGTAAAGGATCTCAAGCTAAACAAGTCAATCACTGGTTTCTTCATTAAAAATGCATTGTATTGCATTCTATGGGCTTATCAAAGACTTATTTTCATGTCAAATGTTTTTTTGCCTACAATCTCAAAAGTAACTAGTCTGTCTTTTTCCTGTCTGAAATGTTGTGGAGTAGAAGTATCAAATAGCATAAAATGGAATTACTCAAGCTTAGTACAAGTACATCAAAGTTGTACTCGAGTGCAGTGCGCACCAATATGTAGCTTGAAGTGACATTTATCTAGTTGATCAGGTCTTTCTTAATTTGATCACATTGAATCCCATTTTATCTGTAGGTACATCCAGCTGTTTATTTGCAGGATGGGAAGGACTGCAAACAGATGTTATCGGTCAAGTCAGGTGATTCAAATCTGCCACAAACGTTACACGTTACACATTAACTTCAATTGATTTCTTTCTGAGAACTAGCTGACTGGTCCATGGATGACTGGGGTCAACATCCTCCATGTGCAACCGCCAAAACCTCAAACACTGCAGGTTGTGAGGGGGGCCCCCGTCCTGGTTACCTAATCAACCTTTAAGCGCTGATGAATAAATTCAGCTTTCAAGTGAAAGAAATGCAGGTTTCTACTGTTAGGTTAAAGTATTTAAACCTCCTCAACATCCAACTTTTGCAGGAAACTAGATCAGCCTTGCTTTTTTAGCTTGTTGGTGTTTTTCCAGCTGGGTTTGAAAATGTTTTTATAACCGTAGAGCTCCAAAAAACAGCAAAACATCAAAACAAGAGTTCCATGTAAAACATCCAAAGCAATGGAGACAGTTCGCCGATTTGAAGATGACCTTTTAAACTGCGATTTTGTAAATTCCAGGTGCCATCGTGCAAAGAAACCCTGAAGATATCTCTGTTGCTTTGCATTTGAGGCGGCTGATCTGGGATTTCTGCATTTCTGTCAAAGGGGAAAAGGCTTCAGTACTTAAGTTAGCGCTGCCCTTTGCCAGCACATTTCCACCCTAACCCTCCTTTTGCCCATAACACATAAGAAGGTGAAGGAATGCCCTTTGTGTACTGTCCACACTGCAGTGTCCTCATGTTTGTACAGCTGCAAGTCCTTTTCTTTCACCTCTGACCATGTCCCGTACAGACACTGTTACCATAGTCAGTTGGGAGCCCTCATTTCAAAGGGGAATATGAAAAAAACAAATTTTAATTTGAAGATGCTAACCAATGATATGTTTATTTTATTTTCAAACGCTTGACACTAAATGTGATCCACAGTATGAATCACAGTGATATACTGGGACAAAAGAAGGGGGACTGTTTGTTTCCAAAATACTGGAGCGCTGGTTACGTCTTCCTGTTCTTTTTTTAATCTTTAGAGATTTTCAATATTCATCCAGTAATTTAGTTAGTGACATTGCTGTTAATCGTTATAACCCTGCTTATATTCATCATATCAAAAATCGCAACATCTGCACAAATCCATTAAATGGCCCGTGATTCACGCTGGCATTCTACCACATAGCTTGTTCTGACATTAAAAACTGACATGGCGGCACACATCGCCTCCATTCTTCCAGCACTTGAGGGCTCTGTATCGTTTTAATAGAAAAGGAAAACAGCTACTCTCCAGGACCACCCGCAACACCATTTATCACCCAAAAAAAACTTTAAGGCTGAACGAACACACTGTATTCATTACCTACTTCATAAAACATGTGTAAGGCTCATTTTAATACTTTCAAAACCTACATTATTTACACTGGCTAGTGGTCTTCTTCATCCTGGACTTAGGTGTTGAAGAACTGTTGGCATTGAAGGCCCATTACTGCCACCTATGGCCCAGATTTAAGCTTACTAAAGAGCTCATGGTATCTTATTACTCCACCCATCGTCACTCCAGATCCTTTCTAAAATGTGCCAACGGGTTTGTTGAGGCATTGGTTTGAACTCTGAGGTGCTTCTCTCATCTCCCACCATACTGTTACATTTACTAAACATTGTCAATGTTAGGCCTAAATGCCAACAAATTAGGCTATCTGACAAGAAGCCCTGGCTCTTAACTAAGAACAAATTATATGAAGTTGCTAAAGTGCATTACTAACATAATTTGATTAAATAAAATAAGCAGGGACACTGAAATAATTCCTCATAACAGAATACAGAGTGATACACATTTGTTGTTTCAGTTGAGTCTCAGGAGTAGCTGCTTTCCCCTTTGGTTTGCATTGTATGCTATGACTTGTCTCATCACATTCGGCCTGTGAAGCTCATTGAAGTTGGGACAAAAGACCAAGCAGAACCTCCCTTGGTTTTTGGTGGTTATATTTCAACATCAGCATATTTTCTTGGCAGCATATAAAAAAAAAAGAAAAGAAAACAGTGACTACAGCTAAATATCAGTCTCTCTAAGCCATCTCTGTACAGTGTAGGTCCGACTGATGAGATGTACCACCCTTCATTCATTCCCTTCTGTATCAAAAGTTGAAATCCAAAAACAATCTACTAGTCTCTAATTAACCAATAGAAACTTGAGTAAAAATGTGCAGATCCACCCAAATGCTCTCAGATTTACACAAGTGCGTAACAGATGTCCGACCTGCAATTTCCGGACTTTTTCTCTTAGTGCCCCTGCCTTCCAAATAATTACAATTGTTGAAACGAGGACTGTGTGAGAGACCAAATTTGGGTCAAATAAACAAGAATGAGCCTCCCTTTACCTGTCCCCAGGTACAGAAAATTACAAGAAGAGCAAAAAAATAAACTCTGACATTAAACAATCCTTTCTGGGAGGTAAAAGTATTTTTGTACAAGTCCCTGGTGCCTCATCATCAATCAGTGATCCATTATT